TATTTTCAGGTGTTTACACCTCTAAGGAATTTCTTAGACTTTCGATTTGCTATTGATGAAAACACCTATTTTGTGACAGTGATATTGAATCGACTGAAAATATTTTCTATAAATTTGTGCAAATCTTAGTGGGATGATGTGCACTACTGGCTTTTCCCTAAAATTCCAAACTTACCTGATTTTTTTAAGAAAGACATTATTTTTTTGGATTCTGATGAAAAGAAACACAATTTGAAAGACTACTAAATGTAATAATCATTATGGGGAAGATTTTCATTCAGAAATGTTGTTTTCTTAAAGTCAAACCATCTTTCCCAACTTTTCACAAGGAACTCTGCCACTCTTCTAATCTTAAATTCATGGACTAAGAACAAGTTGCAGACCTGTATACGATAAACATTTTTTTTCTCCTTGTATGTGTATTTTATTTTATTTTTATTTTATTTTATTTTCTGTACATATGGAAGCAACCTGGGTCAGCTTCTCTAGGCTTTTCAGGTTTATATCTGATACCTTGTCTGTTATTTATGATGGTTATAATATAAAAAACAAAAACAAAGGAGAGGTAGTTGGAATGGAAAGCTGGAAATGGAAATCTTCATAAAGGAAGGTAGGGGACAACTGGCGTCTGAAACTAGTGTCTTGTATTGGCATAGAGGCTCATTAGAGAAGATTATCCCAACAATATTAATAAGGATTTCAAAATGTGTTTAAATGCTTTATATAGATCCACTGGTATAAATGCTTTCTAAGCCTCACTGAAGTTGGTACCTATTGTTTAGAGAATAGGCTTACATTTTCTTACTACAAAAATAAAGAAGTATATCTTTTCAGAAACACCAGAATCTTCCTCCTCATCCTGAATTAGTTAAAGAGGCTATTTGTCAGTGCTAGCTTACTTCTATTTGTGTTGACATTCCAGTATATTTAATTCATCATAATGTTTTCATCTTCAGTCGAACTACAATAGCGTTATATTACCCATGCATGGTATATGTGGGTGACTTCCATCTGTTTTTAATCTGATTGTTTGTTTGTGTTTCATTATAGAACCTTATAAGCCATGATGTATGGATCTGCTCTCACTCCTGGGCCTGGTAAGGGAAAAGACAGGCCAACTGACGAGAGGATCCAATCTCAGAAACCTGAGCAGAAAGATGAAGCTGTTATCGCTGGTGACAGTAGTTTGGCCCTGAGGGACAATAAGCTGCTCCCGGAAGAGGATATAGAGGATATAGTGAGACAGATAATGGACGAGCTGCTAAGCAATGTAATGGAAAGGTGTTATGAATTAGACATTAAAAGACAGGTAACAATTCATATTGTTTCAGTACAACCAGTCAGCAACTTAATCTTAACAATACATCTAATACTTGCTTAAAGGTTTTTTTTTTTTGCTCTTTTTCATTAAGCTTGTACCCTACACTTTATACTGGGCCAAGAACTACCTCATAAACTCTGTTGAGAGCCAAATCCAACACTTGGATGAAGGGGAGATGCCAGAAGAGTTGTGTGAAACAGAAGACTGTGAGCCTCTGCCAGCTATTCCAGATTGCTGTGCCCAAAGATGTGTGCCAACAATATATGTAGGAACTTATTTCACCTCCCAGCAGGTACAGCGCTATCTGTGAAACTGTTCTTTGGTTCTGTTTTACAAAAACTCTTATAAAATTACACCTTTATTTACATTTCCAAGATTTAGTGGATCTGAAAATAATCTCTAGTCTAATTTTACATTCTGTGACACTACAGCACTTAGCTTCACCGTATTCATGTGGATTTAGTGTGATAGACCACACAAACTAAAACATTGTGGAGCTTAAGAGTAATTTAAATGTATTTTATTTCACAAAAGAAATGTATATCTTTGGTTTTACCTGTCTTTTCTTTGATGCCTTAAAATAAAACATTTTGCACACAAGTATCTTTTAGAAATATTCGGATTAGTGAATAAATGTGACCTGTTGTAATTACACATCCAGCTGTTCTGTGAAGGCCTGTGAAGTTTTTTAGAGAATAGAGTTAATGGATAAACAACATCATAAAGATCAAGGAACACAACTGAAAGGTCAGTGATATATAAAGTTGCGAAAAAAGGATTAGGAAAAGAGCCGTCATAGAACTACCGTATTTTCACAACCATAAGGCGCACCGTACCAAAAGGCGCAGTCTCAGTTATGTGTGCCTTTTCTGTATTTAACACACACATAAGGCGCACCGGACTATAGGGCGCGTTTTTTATATACAGGTTGATGTCCTCTACTA